AAAAAAATTCTTTTTACATTTATTTATTTTTGAGAGAGAAAGAGCACAAGTCGGGGAGGGGCAGAGAGAGAATGAGACACAGAATCCAAAGCAGGCTCCAGGTGCTGAGCTGTCAGCACAGAGCCCGATGCGGGGCTCGAACGCACAAAATGTGAGATCATGACCTAAGCCAAGGTTGGATGCTCAACCGATTGAGCCACCCAGGTGCCCCTTTAATTTATTATTAAAAAAATTTTTTTTTTAAGTTTACTTATTTTTGAAAGAGACAGAGACAGTGTGAGTGGAATATGGGCAGAGAAAGAGGAAGAGACAGAGTGTCCCAAGCAGGCTTCATGCCACCAGGAGAGCCTGATGCAGGGATCCAACTCATGAAACTGTGAGATCATGACCTGAGCCGAAACCAAGAGTTGGACATCTAACCAAATGAGCCACCCAGGAGCCCCTCAGAGCTCTTCTTTTTGTGACAGAAAACAAAATTTTCTTTCAAAATACTTTAATCAGATTTACCTTGGGAACCTCATGCTGTGTTTTACATTTCTTCTTCCAGGATTCTTGTTCCTCAATGTACTGGAAGATAAGCTTATGAACTAAAAGGGAGGAAGGAGGAGCTTTATCCTCTGAGGAAGGAAAAACAACAACAACAGGGTATTACTTACTTTCATTTATCTTCTACACATAAGGTAGAAATATTATATAAACTAGAAATACCTTCAAACTACTAGGTATCTAAGTATCCTCTCTGCTCTATTTTCAAACACATAAATCAACATATATAGTAAACACAGACATTCTTATAAAAACTCAAGCCTTTATCATGTACAGAATAGAAGCTGGTTAAAAACATGGGCTTAAATGTAACATAAACCTAAGTTTAAATCCTGCCTTTCCTTACAAACTGAGTGATCCTAAGCACAACACTTACTTCTTTTGAGCTGCAGTTCTCTAATTTGTAAAATGAGGAACCATACCTCCAAGTGTTAACATAAGTAACACTAATGCCTGATACAGATTAAGTACTCATAATGGTAATTTTTCAATTATGGAAACAGCTATTATTAATCATCAATCATTGCTTAAAATCTAGTAATAATTAAAAAAATTAAATCCTACCTAATATTTGGAACATTATCCAAGCAATTTTATGTCTAATAAACATTTCTAAGGAGAAATTAATACTATTATTATTGTTTATATTTAACTTTGTATGTGAAAGAGCTCTCAAGGAGCAATTTACACTTGTAAATATTCAACAAGTTTTCAGTGGATAACTGGACTTACCATCTAACAGAGACTGAAAATTCAGGTCAACAATCTTCCTGAAAGCCTTGTCCAGGAAAGGGAGACCAACTAGGAAGAACCAGAGTAAGAGCAGTATTTCTTTTTATTATCTGATTTTAAGCCACATACAACTCAGTACTTTACAAGCCTACTCTTTCTGGGTAGCAGGGTTTTTTGTTTTTGTTTTTTCTTTAGAGAGAGAGAGAGCATGTGAAGAGAGAGAGAGAGAAGAAAGAGAATCTTAAGAAGGGTCCACACTCAGTGCAGAGTTTGACATGGGGCTCGATCCCACCGCCTTGGGATCATGACATGAGCTGAAATCAAGGGTCAGATGCTCAAGTGACTGAGCCACCCAGGTGCCCAAGCAGAGGTTTTTTTTTAATATAAGCAGCTAAAGGTATATCCTTGAATCATATTATTTTTTGTGAATGGTAAAGGCTCCCCCTGAGACTGCTGAACTACACTTACTGACAGGCCTTTGAAGGAAATTTAAGGTGTAGTACCTTTATTTTAAATTTATCAAGGCCTCCTCCTTTAACTTCTAAATTTTGTGCAAAGATACTATTTTCAGACACCATACAAAAAAATGACTGATCTCTTCACACCTACTTTCTTTTTATAAATACAGTGCAAATGATTTATGCTCTTAGCATTACAGTAATGAGTTTTACTCATTAGCCAGGAGAGCTGCTTCCTCCTCCAAACTCTAGAGTTCTCTCATGTTTCTCGAATTCTGATTCTTTTCATGTTATTGAATATTTTCTATGTGTTAGGCACTGGGGATACAATAATGAGACAAAAGACACGATCAATTTATATTCTCAAAAAGCTAATAGCTCAGGGGGATACACAGATAACTGCACAAATAAACACACCAAAAACTATAACTGGGAATAGGCACTATTAAGGAAAACTGCGGGAAGCAATGAGAAAATATATAAGAGGAAGGTAACTAGTAGAAGGAATGGGTAAAAGGAGAGTCAGGGAAAACTTTCCTGAGAAAGTGATAATTGAGCTGAGCTCTTAAGGATTACTGGCAGAAATTTATTTAGTGGAGAGGGAGTACTACGGTATGAATGATTGTGTCCTCCCCTCAAATTTGTATGTTGAAATCTTAATGCCCAAGGTGATGGTATTGGGTGACAGATTTTTGGGGAGGTATTTCAGACATGAGGGTAGACCCCTTATGAACGAGATTAATTAGGGTCTCAGAAGAGACCCTAAAGAGCTAGCTTGGACTTTCAGCATATAAGGATACAATAAAAAGTATGCACCCTGGAAGAGGGCTCTCAGCTGAGCATGCTGGCATCCCAGTCTTGGATCTCCAGCTTCCAGAAATGTAGAAAATAAATTTTGGTTGTTCATAAACTACCCAGTTTATGGCATTTTTGTTATAGTAGTCCAAATGGACAAAGGCAAGGGAAAGGGCTTTCAGGCATAAAAAAGATCATTATCAAGGTCCTGGAGAAGGATGGAATATGACTGACCATAAAAAGACCATGATCTTTTAAAGAAATGAAAGAGGGGTGCCTGGCTGGCCAGTCATCAGAGCATGAGACCCTTGATTCTCAGGGTTGTGAGTTCACGGCCCACATTGTGTATGGAGCCTACTTTAAAAAAAAAAAAAAAAAAAGGAAATGAAAGAAATCCATGTGCCAAAGTGCAGAGAATAGTTTAAGATGAGGCAGGAAAGGGAGGAAAAATTAAATTCTTGCAAGATGTTACAGTTCATAGTAAATATTTTGATCATTAGTCTAAGAGTATTTGGTGCATAATCAGATTTTTAACAATCCCCATAGCTGCAGGAAGGAAGATGAATTGGAGGGGAAAAGGAGAAGATCCAGAAAGGCCAGTTTGAATGTTATTGTAGTCATTTGGTTAGAAATGACTATTGATAGGAAATGAAGAAAAGTGGATCAGTATTAAGAAATTAAAATCAGTATGTCTTATTGATGATTAGATATGCCTGGCAAGGGATAAAATATAGAGGTAAAGAGTGATTCCTGTTTTAATTTTGGACCTGGACTAGAGCATGTGGGTGGCTTGAGTGCAGAGTCTGTTTGGCATTCTCTCTCTCTCCCTCTCACTCTACCCACTCCTCCCCCACCCTCTCTCTCTCTCAAAATAAACAAGCAAACAAACAAACAAATAAACATTTAATTTTGGACCTGGACTGAAGTTGTTGATATTCTTTGAGAAAAGGAAATTTTAAGGAGAATCATGTGTGGAGACTGGAAAAATGTGAAGTTTGGTTTGCTATGCTGAAATTGTTTCAGAGAAAAGACCTAAAGACACCGACAGGAGCCTCTTAACAAAATAGCTAGGACTCTGTCCAGTTACCATATAGTGATTCCAAAGACTCTGTTAAGCCTACCAATATATACAGAACTTCCAATGAACTTTTCAGGTTAATTTAAGTACAAAAAAAAAAAAAATATCAAGGGGTGCCTGGGTGGCTCAGTTGGCTGAACATCCAACTTCAGCTCAAGTCATGAACTCAAGCTTCGGTTCGTAAGTTCAAGCCCCACAATAGGCTGGCTACTGTCAGCAGACAGCCTGCTTTGGACCTTCTGTCCTCCTCTCTCTCTGCCCCTCCCCTGCTCATGTTCTCTCTCAAAACAAAACAAAACAAAACAAAACAAAACAAGTGTCACCAGCCATTAGAGTAAGTCTATCAAAAAAGACAGATGGAAAAAAGGAAGCCAGAATAAATAGATGCAAATAGCATATTGATCCATTATTTGGATATGTAAAATTTCTATCATCTAATGTCATTCAACAAAGGTCAACTTTCATTAGTTGAATTTTTATTTTATTCTCTATCTAATAAAATAAAATCCTATTATCGTAAATTAAAATAATCGCTTCTTCTAGTGTGCTTTCATTTCATTATGTCAATAGTTATTATTGTAGTAAAATAAAGATTGGACTCCTTAGTGAGTTTATCCATACATTTTTCTGCAGAGGAATTACTTTTGCTACTCACCTGCTGGCTCTCCAAAGGTGATGGTAAGTTCTATTGTGTCATAAAGAAAGGTGAACACAGCTTGATCATCACTCCACTCGATGACTTCCCACTCAGACACGCTGGAGAGAAATAAATAAAGACAAAAATTTTTTTCTGAAGTAAAAGAAGAGAAGAGTTAACTTTTGATACCACATAAAGAGTGCCAGCAATATTTGCTGAAGTTTTTTGCTGGCTTGGGAGATAATCAAATATTTTGATTCAAATACCGTGAATGTACAAATATGCTTTTGAAAGAATTGACCCAATTTTGAGTTCTGCATCAGAGAAAACCCAAGTTTAGGCAATATAAAGTGTTAAATATTTTAAAATGATAATTTCATAGCTTTCCCACCTTGTATCCTTTCAGCTTGGTGTTGCGTACATTGACTCTTTTTGAGGTTGTATTACGGGTTAAAGATAGTGATACACAGGGGCATCTGGGTGGCTCAGTCAGTTAAGTGTCCAACTCTTGATTTTGGCTCGGGTCATGATTTCAAGGTTCAAGGGTTCAAGCCCCGGGTTTGAGTCCTGGTTTGTGGTTTCAAGCCCCATGTCAGGCTCTGTGCTGGCAGTGCAGAGCCTGCTTGGGAATCTCTCTCTCTCTCCCTCTCTCTCTGCCCCTCTCCCACTGTATGCGGGCTCTCTCTCAAAATCAATAAATAAACTTAAAAAAAACAACAACAGTGATACATGTTAAAAACACATGTCAACTGCCGTAATAGGTTAGCCAACTACAAAGGCACAGGGTAAAACACAAACTAATGACACCTGCTTTTCCTTACCTCAACTGATCCAGTAGCTCTTCAGTTCTATTTGTTTGTTTTTGCACGAAGTCTATTTGAGCAAGGGTCTGCTCTTTCTGTACTTCCAGTTCTAAGAGATTTCTGCAAATCATAGCAGGTAATCAGAGAGATAAGGCTGTTGTCAGAGAATTTGGACTCCATAAAAATAAAAGGTTTATGAGAAGAAGTCACATGCTAGATGGTTCCCCAGTGAAGTGAATGGCATCCATTTTTGTTTTCTTAGTTTTTTTTTTATTGTGTGTGTTTTTTTTTTTTAATAAGCATTAATCTAGAA